TTTATTCTCCACCAGGCCTTGTAGTGTATACTTTCCATGTATTATCTCATCGAATTCTCACAATAACTCTGGAAGGTAGATGTTGTTTTTTGTTTATTTGTTTTCAATTTCTATTTCCAGATGAGTTCATTAAAATTCAGAGAGTTTAGCCCTGGCTGATATGGCTCCATTGGTTGGGTATCATCCCATGTACCGAAAGATTGCTGGTTCGTTTCCCAGTCAGGGTACATGCCTAGGTTGTGGACTTGATCCCCAGTAGGGGGCATGCAGGAGGCAGCCAATTGATGTTTCACTTTCACATGGATGTATCCCTGTCCCTCTCCCTTCCTCTCTCTCTAGAAAAAAAAAAATCTATCAAAATATTTTTAAACACCTCAGAGTTTAAATAGCTTGCTTAAGGTTAGTCAGCCAGTAAGTGGTGGCTCAGACGTGCAGGGCAGTCAGGGTGGAGCTAAGCTTCCTAGGCCATACCCTCCCCTGGTGCCTTTTCCCTCAGTAACTGGAATAGCCCTCTTTTTATCTGTTCTATATGCCGTGATTTTCTTTGAAACCAGAGTTTTATGGCTAAAGAATTTAAAAGCTCTGGGCCTCCAGAACAAATTTGACTCGGTTTGCACCATTTTATGTCTCATACCCTCCTGCCATTATATTTCTCCCTGTGCTTCTGCCTGAAATGCCCTCTCCTTTCTTCTGCAGCTGACAAATTACTCTGAATCTCCTGGGCATTTTCTAAATCTCCAGACAGTACGCATGCTCCCTTTACAGAAGGTCCGTCCCTCTGACCCAGCAGCAGCCATCCTCTTTCTCAGTTGTGGTTGACAGTTGTCCCCACCACTGCATGAGCCTCCAAGAAGGTGGCCCAGGCCTGCCTCTGCTCTGGAGCTCCTCAGCCTGGCCCAGGGTCTGGCACGGAGCGCAGGGGCCTCTGCCAGTGCTTGAACCAGTGCGTGCCAGGCACAGAGAGGCTGCTAGACAACTGGCTGAGTTCAGCAGCCTGGAATACAAACCAGGGTGTACTCACAGAATCCACGAATGTGAGATGGAGACGATCGGATGTATTAATCACTGGTTTGGAAAGGCATTAAAATATTTCCATAATATAGTATGTTTCTTTTCTAAAACAGATGTGCCCTCGTTTCATGAGAAAGTAATTAAGTGTGTTTGATTAAAACATTCATAAATGCTATCATTTACTCAAGGCTACTTTATGCTGCTTTCTTTATTGGTACTTTATACATGTGATTGCTCTCCCAGTCACCTTAAGATATTTAGGTGTTTTTAATATTTCCACCTTAGAAATGAGGACACTGAGGCTCAGAGAGAAGTGAGTAGCTTGCCCAAGCATAGTCAGCTCTGGGTGATAGATAACGGGAATGAAACAGGTCAGTCTGACTTCAGAGCCACTGCCTTTCCATCACCCTCACTGCTTCTGACCTTGTATTTTAGATACCTTCCATCTCAACACCCCAAGCTCAGCCCTGCCCATGCTGGTGCCCTCTCCTTCCTTACCTTTTCCCCCTCCTCACTGTGTTCCCTTCTCCATTTCCTTAGATTATTGCTTATTTGCATTCTAAAACTGAAATATTTTTGTCAGTGTCAATTGGATATTATTTTTTGTGGAAACTGTCTGGTGTTAGTGTAATGTCACATTTACACTAATAAATAAAAAATGCACTTATTAAGGCTAAATTACATATATTGTGATTTTCTTTATATTGCCGTTTGCTCTTAAGATTTTTTGAGCCCCAATTGATATATTTTTAAATGTATGGTATTTTTCCCTTCATGTAAAATATAAATAAAACAATGTAGTGAAGAGGAAGTTGATAGATAAAAATTTTTATTAAAGATTTTCTAAACAGTAGGATACCTATTTCAAATTATATATGAAATATAAGATTGAAATACTTCTTGTTAGGGAAGTTTGAGAGGTCTCTTACAGACTTAGATTCATTTATTTTCTGCCCTCCTAGTATTTCAGCAGGATTAAGTTTTTTGAATCAGTGGATCAAGTTTTAATTTTCCTGTTCCTTCCTTATACCGACATATGCTTTGGCAGAACAAAAAAGAGACCTAAACATGTCAGCATGATTTTTGTTCAATGAATTAAAAACCATAAAAGTAACAAGATCTGATCCAAATCCCTAAACTCCTGACATGGTGGTTTTGTCCTTTTCAGTCCCAAGCTTCATATTACTGGCTTTGAAAAGCTTTCTGCCTGGGAGCAGAGTCGTGGCAGCAGTGCCGGATTTATGTGAAATAGAGTACAAGGGGGGCAGCATGGAGTAGTGGAAAGAATACGGGCCAGAAAGATCTGGGTTTGAATCCCAGTTCTGTCACTCAAGCCTATCGGCAAGTCACTCAACCTCTGCACCTCAATTTCCTCTGGGCAGAATGGGGGTATGAGAATCTAGTTCAAAGAGCTGTGGTGAGGATTGTAAGGAAATATACCTAAAGTACTCACCTGGCATAGAGGGGCTTAATAATGGTAGTAATCAGGATCATTTTTATTTTGAGAATACCTTCAATTAGCTGAATCCAGAAGGATTTCTTTATAACACAGCTGTCTACTTTGTCTGTAGTGTATCTTTCTCAAAAATGTTCAGTTTTCTTCTCATCCCATCAGGGAAAAAATACCAGGTGGACGCCACTGAATCTTTAACACATGCTTGCCACTGTTTCCCACGGAGCATGTATCCAGAACTTGGGATTGTCCTTACTGGGCAAGAACTGCATTGATTTGAGGGTCAGGAACCATATGCCAAGGATGTCCACTTCAGGACCCAGGGGGGCAGAGGAATTTTGTCATACTAAGACCATTGACTTTTGAGACAGGACAGACTGGGTTTGATTTTGTGTAAGATATTTAAAATTCCTTTGGGTCTCATTTTTTCATCTGTAAAATGGAGTTCATGATCTTACAAGGCCCTTCATGATAGGAATTTCTGGCCTCTTTTCTTGTCATTCTCCTTTGTTATCTGCACTCCAGTCAGTTCCTCAAATGAAACTTGGTCTCTGCAGCTCAGAGCCTTTCTACCTGCTCTTTCTTCCTCCTGGAAGTCTCCCTTTGCCACGCCAGTGCTGGCAACTTGTTCTCGTCCTTCAGATCCTAGTGTGGTATATTAGTCAGAATAGGATGGGCTATGCTGTAGTAACAAGCAACCCCCAGATCTCCACGGCTTACACAACAGAAATGTATGCCTTGCTCATGCTGTATGATGGGCGCTCTTCATCATAGTCACTCTGGGAACTAAGCTGATAGATAGTCATATGCCACGTATATTGTGGCCAGCAGAAGCTAATGTGGTGGAACACACACTGGCTCTTGAAGCTTCTGCCCTGTGGCAGAGCCCATAATTTCTCTCACATTTCATTGGCCAAAGCAAGTTGTGCAGCCACACTGGGTGGCTAGGGAAATGCATTCCTACTGCATGGAGTAGGGACCAGAATGCTAGTGAAAAGACCTCACGGCCACCACATTCACATGTTATTTTTCTAGGAAGCGCTTCCCTTAACTTGGACAGAAACTTTTGAGTTAGCTGAGCTGCTTTTATGCTGTGACATCTGATGCTTTCCCATGTCCCTGTCCACAGCACTTCTTACACTATGTTGTCAATTTGTCTCTATTGACCTCTCTGCCCAGCTAAGCTCCTTAGGGGCAGGACAAAATGTTCATCATTTTGTCCTCAGTGCCCAGCACTGGTTTTGATAGGTATTGGGCCCTTGATCTGTACATGACAAAGAAATGAAGGCAGGACAAACATGATGGCTTACTCTGCTGCTGGGCTGTTGTGATGATGAATGTAAAACAGGATTAATACTAATTGCCTCATACAGTTGTTGTAAAGATCAACATATGCCAGAATGCTAGTGAAAAGACCTCACGGCCACCACATTTATATATTATTTTTCTAGGAAACGCTTCCCTTAACTCGGACAGAAACTTTTGAGTTAGCTGAGCTTCTTTTGTGCTGTGACATCTGATGCTTTCCCATGTCCCTGTCCACAGCACTTCTTACCCTATGTTGTCAATTTCTCTCTATTGATCTCTCTGCCCAGCTAAGCTCCTTAGGTGATGGAAAGCCCAGCACTGGTTTTGATAGGTATTGGGCCCTTGATCTGTACATGACAAAGAAATGAAGGCAGGACAAACGTGATGGCTTACTGTGCTGCTGGGCTGTTGTGATGATTAATGTAAAACAGGATTAATAATAATTGCCTCATACAGTTGTTGTAAGGATCAACATATAAAGTGCCTGTCCTGGTGGTTTATAGTAGGCCCTCCATGTGCTCATTGTTGTTATTGTGATGAGATGTTAGTAGTAAACATAACTAACATTCATTAGCATTTATCACATGCCAGACGCTCCCCTGGGTCCTTGTGGAAGTTAACTGGGGCATTGGTTCTCACATGTTACGTTGGGACTCGCGTTGTTTCCCGGTCAGTTTTGAGGTGACTCATAAGTCATTTGCTATAATGATAGTTAAGATTCTGAAGGTTGCTACTTATTTGTTTTGGGTGAATTAGAGATTTAAAGATGATGCTGTTTCTATAGTATCATTACTCATTTGCATCGCTTTCTTTAGTGGGAGAGAAGGGGATGGAGTTATAGCCAATTGTTGCTTCCTTTTATTGAGCAGTTAAAATGTGGCGGGGTCAGTGGCAAACACTGTACATGCATCATCTCATGTGATCTTCACGCCACTGCCTAAGACAGGCACTGACAAGTCCCAGTATAAAGATAGGAACACTGAGGAGACAAGTCTTACACTTCTTGTAGGATTTGCCCCTCATATTCCTAGACTCCTTGGCTCATGCTTTTAATACCTTTCCTTACCGGCTCTTCTCCGCTAACTCACCAGGAACCTTACTTGACCCTGAGCACCCCCATGGGCGCGTGTCAGGAATGTGAAGCTCATCCGCCATCAGAGAGTAAGGTTACAAACTGTTGAGCTAATGGACAGTGTGATGTTACCGGTAAATTTTTCTCTTTTATCAGAGTAACCAGGGAGCACAGGGAAATGCTGGCCAAATTGGCCAAACAGAACACCAACAAGGCCAAAGACTCCTTACGGAAGGTTCGTACCAACGCAATGAATAAGCTGAAGAAATCAAAGGACAAAACCTCGGAGGACACCATTCGACTCATAGAAAAGCAGGTACTATTCCCAGCAGATGTAATGCTTCTGTATCTGATCCAGGGACTCACTTGTTCATGTCTAAAGTGAGGAAAATGAAGACAAGATACAGCACCCTGGTCCTTCATTGATGTGATTTTTGTTGACTGGGTCTCTGTCCTGGGCCTCGCCCTGTGCTGGGCCCTGGGATTAGGGAGGAGGAGGAGGAGATCTGCTGACCTTTCACTGTGTGCCAGGTTCTGCCAAACACTTTCCATCACTTCATTTATCCTCGTCACTACAAAGCTGTGAGGGGTAGGCAGCAAGGAAATAGGTCCAAGGAAGTTGAATGGCTTGCTCAAAGTCATACTGCTGATAAAAGGTAGAAATGGGATCCAAAGACAGGTAGACTGACTTCAGAGCCTATATACATTATTGCTCTCCTGTCTGAGGTTGGTGGTCTGGGTGCTGAGAAGTGAGAACTTAACAGTGTTCTTGGTGTGCCCAGTGGTGGCACTTACACCTGTCACTGGAAAAAAAGGGGACATATATAATACTTTAAGTCATAAAGGTAGGAAGGTAGGAAGGTAGGAAGGAAGGAAGGAAGGAAGCAAGCAAGGAAGGAAGCAAGCAAGGAAGGAAGCATCGGCCTTCGGACTGAAGGGTCCCAGGTTTGATTCTGGTCTAAGGCACATGCCTAGGTTGCTGGCTCAATCCCCAGTAGGCATACAGGGGGCAGCCGATCAATGATTCTCTTTCATCATTAATCATTCTATCTCTCTCTTCCTCTCTGAAATCAATAAAAATATATTTTTTTAAAAAAAGAAAAGAAAGAAATCCAACCAGGAAATGACAGTGGCCTGACCTGGGTGGTACAAGTGGAATTAAGGTAGGAAGATGAACTTAACAGTATTTAGGAGATAGAATTTATAATGTTGAGTGTGCTGTAAAATGCTCACCCAAAGCCACCTTGTCCACAATAAAAGCGTTAGTTTAAGTAAGATTTTGAGCAGGATGTGGACCAAGAGGGAAGGAGTGGAAGGCAGGACACCTGGAGGAGGCCATACATGGACTCCCTGCTCCCCTTCTCCTGGGCCAGCTAGTCACAGGCCAGGCCAGACAGTCACCCAGGGGAGAATTTTAGATGGATTCTTGGGGCCAGCTCCTGAATTTTCTGTTTCAGCAGGTCTGCCCAGGAATGTGTATTTTTAAAAAGTGGCCTAGGTGATTCTGCAAAAAGCAGACAAGGTGTGACAAGGCACCCGAGTTTAAAAGAGATTGTTCTGTAGTTGGTGTCCTGTGGCATTGGGGAGGTTACAGGACTCCTCAGCCTGTTTGTTCTGTAACAAGGGATTTGTAATTCCTGCCGTGAGGGTTGCCCTGGGGCTGCTAGAAGTACCATTACCTGACACCCAAACCCTCAAAGCTCCCTTCTTGCCATCCCTGTGCTCTCCTCTCTCCCTGCATCAGCTGACAGAGATTCAGAGGCTAGCTGGCCTCTCTGAGCCCTGATCAGTCCTGGGAGAGTCCAGGCCTGGCCCCTGCTGAGCCAGCTCCTTGTCCATCTCCCTGGGGCTTTCATCTCTTCAGCTGACACTTGGCCCCTTGGTTGCTTCCTGGTGGTAAGTCCTCACTCAGCAAATCTGGGCATCTGCCTCAGGGACCAGAGCCGGTGCTCCTTGCAAAAGAGAATGATCGGATAACCAGCTCCCCTGATGAAACCCCCTTGACAGTGACCTTGCTGGAAGCCTTCTGTCCTTGGCACCTGGCTTCGCACCTTCCTTTTCAGATTAGATATTTTATTCAGTGCTTGTTACTGTACATTATTTTTCAAAGTGCAAGTAACTTTATTTTTTTCTGATACTAAACTAATCCTTGTTTCATATAAATTTGTTTTTAATTAAGAAGAAAGTAAGTGAAATTTCATCACCCAGAGATGACCATTATTAACATTCAAATTATCTCTGTAAGCATTTATGTAATATTACAAGAAAAAAGATACTACTAGATATTTATTTCACAACAATCATTATTACTAAGATATTATCATTTAAATATTAGTTCTGCCATTATTGATAAAAACTTTTTACTGTCATGTGGTTCAAAGTTCAATAAGAAAATAGAAGACAATTTTGTACACACTTCATTTTGTTCTTTTTTCCTGACAGAAGGCACCGATATGCAGTTTTGGGTGTATGTTTTTATTTAAGTTAAACAGGCAGGGGCTGATTGTTGCTTTATCAAGCAGTTTTTAAAATATGTTTGTTTACTTTGTTCCTGATTATCAAAGTATTGTAGAAAATGCAGAGAGTTCAGAAGACTGTTTTAAAAAATGGGGAAAAATTCACCCCATGATCCCACATTGCAGGAACAACTGCTCGTAATATTTTGGAATTTTTCTCCCCCCCCCTTTTTTTAAACTACATAGTTTTAAACATGATTGAGAACATGTACTGTACATACAATTTGTATACAGCTTTTTATTTTCTGTTCGGCATTAAAACCATTAGCATTTTCTTGTGTCTTAAAAATCTCTTTATAAACAGACATTTCTAATGGTTGCAAAACAGTCTGTCGTCATACCATAATTCACTTTTGTAAGCCCTGTTGTTGGACATTTAGTTTGTTTAAACGTTTTTGTTATTTTAAGTAAGGTTGCAGTGAATATTTTTATACACACATCTTTGCTGAGATAATTTCCCTAGGATACAGTCCCAAGTGTGGAATTACAGCGCAAAGGGAATGCATGTTTTAAGGTTCTTGGTACAGAGTGCCTAAATCACTCATGGGTTTTTAGAATATGTGTATTTAATTTTTTTTTTTTTGGCCTTTTCTAATCCCTAATATTTGAACCTAGAACTTTTAATGTGAGCTTAAAATGTTGCTTACATTAGGAGTGTTGCTTTTACTTCCACACTCCATTGGAAAGATTAACTTATTCTTTGTATAAATCCATACAATTTTTCTAGAGGATAGTATGGCAGTATATACCAAAATCCATACATTTCTGATTCACTGACTTGGGAATTTATCTAAAATAAATTGTCAAAAATCTTATCTATAGAAGTGTGTATTGATTATGTATAATTGTAGAAAACTGGAAACTGTCTAAATTTCTAACAGTGGGAAAATAAGTTGTTTTACATTCCTTAACTGGAATCTACATATAGCAACAACTATAAAAATATTTTACAGATGTACTTTTTTTGGAATTTATTTTTTAAAGGTAGATTACATAACAGTATTATCATATGATTTTATTTTTGTAATGAAGAGTTTCGTGTATATAAAAAGATTGGCAGCCTATCCACTTAAATGTTAATGGTGGTTATTTCAGGTAATGGGATTATAGACAATTTTAATTTTATACTTTGAGATTTTCTTAATTTTTTAAAAAATTTCCAAATGTCTTTTGAGGTCATACATTTCAAAATTCTGTCATAAAAATGTTTTGTCTTCGGTCTATAAGAAGGAAATTATTCTGTGGTGGGTTCTTTCCCTGCAGT